TTGTTTCATGTTTAGAGTGCTTGCAAATAATAATAATAATAATAATAATAATCATAAAAATAAAATAATGAAAGCATTATTTTTGTGGCTCAGTCATGCTGTGGGTAAATGCAGGTATTGGAGCCGTGTGGGCCTGGGGTTAAGTCTTAGCTTTGCTTCTTTGCAGCTGTGTGATTTGGGGGATGTCACTTTACTGCTCTACTCCCAATTTCCTCATCTGTAAAATGGGAATAATATTACCTTCTTGAAAGTCTGGGTGTGAAGATTAAATGATTTCAACATGTAAGAGCTTAGAACAGGGTCTGACATGCAAAAAAGGACCCCATAAATGTTAGCTTTAATTTTGTTATTATAAAGCAGATTCCTATACCTCATCATCTTTAATTATTTCATTAAACTTGTTTAAGATTTCCTCCCTCCAAATCAGTCTTTGGGCACTTGGATCTGGTGGCTGGCAGAGGGGAAGAGGTAATGTTTCCATTAATAAAGCAATCCTATAAATAAAACTTCTGTGGGCCATGCAGAATGTAGGCCACCCACTCTGCCCCTCATCAAAGACATGATTTCTCTCCACTCTCTTACCCTGTGTGGTTGTAAGGAGAATTGAGAAAACAGTATTTTGACACTTGACATTTCTCATCTTCACTTCTACTTTCCATGTCCACCTGGTGACAAAAAGCTGCCCCAGAGCAGAAATGCCACCTTAAGACGGCCTACACTGTTGCAGAAACAATCACCGCACTGCACGTGCAAATATTTTCAAACTAAAGTGACTAAGAATCACCTCCCAGTCTCTTAGATAGGGCATAGGAGAGGGTGGAACAGAAGAGCTGAAATTATAGGGGGGGCGGGGCCAAGGAGGTGGTGGAATAAGAACATTTAAGAAACATAGACATTTCCCTGGCCAGTGACTCAATTGGTTGGAACATCGTCCGTACACCAAAAGGTTGCGGGTTCAATTCCTGGTCAGGGCACACACTTAGGTTATGGGTTCAATCCCCAGTCAGGATGCATACAGGAGGCAGCCAATTGAGGCCTCTCCCCCCCCCCCCCCCCCTCTCTCTCTCTCTTTCTCTCCCCCTTCCTTTCTCTCTAGAATCAATGAAAACATCCCGGGTAAGGATCAGAAGAAGAAACATAGATCTCATTCCTTCTCCCTAGAGACTTGTGCATGTCCAGGCCAACATCATTTGCTGGCCTGACATTTCTAAAGATGTTTTGCCTCCTGGTTTTGGTAAAAGAAGTAGTATCATTGTTTATTTTGTTTTCTTCCTACGTAACTATCTAATTCATACTATGCAGATAAAATGGGTCACAACAATAAAAGAAAAGGAATCTAGAAGAGATATTTAGCTATTTCTGAGCAACACCAGGAGGACACTGGGGATTTTCTAGATTCTAGTTGCCTTTTACCCTGAAGGTAGGGAATGCATCTTATTCATCTTCATATCACCCAGGGAGGCTCACACCATGGATAGAATGTGAGGAATTGAGAGCTGAAAGATCTGAGACCGTTTAGTCTAATCTCCTATTTTACAACTGAGGGCCAGAGAAATGAGAAACTTAGCCCTTATGATTATTCTGGAAGAATAATGGCTAGAACCTGGTTTCCTGACTTCCGAAATCATTCTTCAGAAAGTTTTCTCTCAGCTGACCATGTGACCAGTTTGTCAAAATGATTCTGGTTTATGCCTATTGCCCTCGCTTACTTGTTAGAATCCGATGAATGTCTCGGTAGGGATGACAATTTATAAGGTTACCTGGTGATATAATATTGCACTCTCTTCCCATAAGCAAATAAGGAAGAAGTATAGGATGCAGGTTCTCCTAGACTTAGGTGGTGATCTGAGGACTGCTTTGCCCAACGCAGGACAATTTCAGGACACAGAGAAGGTAAGTGTTTACAAAAAAAAAAAAAAAAGGTTTGAATTAGTAAGATTACCTTCCTCTCCTGTGGGAGCTCCGAGGGGGCCTGTGAGCTAACACCAGCTTCCTAGCTTATGGGACTGCCGTGTGGCTGCTGGTGAGGGGGGCGGGATTTCAATGCAATGTACTCGGATGGGATATTTGCAGGGAACTGCTGCTGGATTAAACAAGATACCTTTGTGGTGGGAGATAAATCCCAGTATGACATGAATGTGTGAACTGGGTAAGGTGGTGGCAGTGATGAGGTGAAGCCATAGGGGGGGCTGAATGAAGCTTTGTGCTTGCATGTCACTCTGCACGCCCGCCGTGCCAGCCTATCGAGGGGCTGAGCCGAGCCCCCTCCGAAACGCCGGTTCCCCTTCCATTCTGTCACATCTCTCTGCGCCAAGTCAGGAGCTACACACTTTCACATGGCACTGTACCCCAATGAGATCAAATAAATCATTGGGGACATAATATTTGCTATGCTTAATTTCACTTTACAGAACTACTTTTTTTCAGGGCCAGATCTCTCTGTATGTTAACATATGCCCATATTAATACGTTACTAGTCACAAGTAAATATCACAGTATTGATTCCAGAGATAGTTCCTGTCGAGCTGGATATTTCTTCTTGTTGGTGGAGGAGAGAGGAAAAGAGGTGGGAGGTGGGAGGCGGGTGGGGGCAGGGAACTCTAGTGGGTTCCTTCTCCTTCATCACCAAGGGCACCAACAGGTCTGGAAGTCTAGGGGCAGCGGCCTCTTCATATCGCCTCCGAATCTTGTACAGCTCTTCTCATTTGCTAACCGCTGATAAAGACCTAAGCTGCCCTTCTTGTGTGTCCACCTGTCCATCTGAGAGCAGGGCCTGCGTCTGCCCGGGCGAAGGGGAGGGCACGTACTCTCTGCTCCTGCTTTCTGGCTAACAAATTTAAGGAGTGGTCTCTGAGACACAGTACTTTTCAGGGCAGGGTCTGCAGCGGAGCGAACTGGTTCACAGGGCGATGAGACCCTTGACCTTTGCCTCATTAGCTCCATCCTTTGACCGACTGAGCTCATCCCTACCACCACCACACTTGAGAGCACAGCTTTAAAGCGTAGGTGGGCCACATCTGTATTTACTGGGTTTGAGAGTAGCTCTGAGAGTAAGCCAGCTTTCTCTATTGATTAGCTCCTGCAAATGACAACAATGACAAGCACACCTACTTCGGAGTCAAATCAGGCCCCGGGGAGAGGAGGAAGGATTTGTGATGAGGGGAGACCATCGGTCTCCAATCACATTTGGGAATAAAAAGAGGAATAGAAATTCCAAACGGGATTTTTTTTTTTAAGTAATGAGAAAAAGAGGCGGGGAGGGTGTAACACCCATCGGACGCCCTTTGTATCTGAAGAGGCAGGCAAAGTAATATGATTCTCGCCTTAATGTCAAGCTTCAGTAAACCCACCTCCTGGTTACTATGCAGGCGGAAATGTACATGCAGGAAGAGCAGAAGAAGGAAGAAACCAACTGGGGGTGGGGCCAGCTGCTAAATTTAGCAAGGGTGAAACTAGAGGAAGGAAGGATGAGAGAAACATCACAAAGCCAGGGACCTGCTGGGAAGCACTTGGCACAAGGAAGAGGTGTCGAGCTGCCCGGAGTCAGGCTCTCTTTTGTGAAGTGTTAATTAAGAAGACAACTTCTCATGTTTTTAATTTGCCAATACCAGAACAAAAATATTAGCCCTGCTCCTGGGGTGATCTAGCGATACAAGGAAATGCCCCAAGGGACCAGGGTTTTAGTTCCCTAGTAATCTGGTCCTAAGAAAAAGTCCCAGGTGACAAGTATTGCCGTGTGTCCCCACATCTGTTGTCTAACCCATCCGGGCAGGAACGCTCCAGGCACTGAGCATCGCTGTACATGGAACGGTGCACAAAGTAACATTTTTATACCTATTTCCCTGCCCATATGCCTGCTTTTTTTTTTTTTTAAGATTTTTAAAACTGCTTTTTAGAGAGAGAGGAAGAGAGAGGAAAGAGAGAAAAGCATTGATGTGCGAGTGTAGCATCAATCGGCTGCGACCTGTATGCACCCTATCAGGGATTGAGCCCACAACCTGGGCATGTGCCCTGACTGGGAATGGAACCAGCAACCTTTCAGTGTATGGGATGACATTCAACCACCTGGGCGACACGGCCAGGGCCCCATAGGCCTGCTCTGCACTATGTCCAGGGTCACAATGCAAGTCTGGTTTTCTGCTCTGTTTTCTAGCAATGATTTTGCTGATGGTGTGACTCACAGGAGAGCAGCACCTGGGACAGCTGAAATAAGCACTTACACTGAGTCCGAGGTAAGACACCACCTCTGGTGCAATGAAGAACCCCTGGGTCCCCCACAGAGTTCACAGGGTTTGGGTCTTTTTTCATTCTCCAGCTTTCATTACCCTCTGCTCACAAATCTTCAATGATTCCCCATTACCTGCCTCCATCCAAATCCCCCACATTCGATTTCCAACCTTACCTCCTTGGAGTAGCTCTCCAAAGGCCCAGTGTGGAGCATGGCTGAAACAGGCTGATGGCTCACAGGGTTGTACTGAGTTTATTTTCTCTATTTGGGGTATGTTTAAAATTCCTCTTAACAAAAGGTTGTGGGGAGGTGAGGGGGAGGGAAGATAAGCTAGTACAACCCAAATCATCTGACTACTTTCTACCCCAAGGACTGACTCCATCCTCTGCCATTCTCTCTGCTTGGAATGTTCTCCACACCATCCCTGCTTATCCGAATCCTGCTGGGCCACCAAGGACTCCCCCAGAGCCACCTCATGCATGGAGCTGACCTGCTGCTGGTACCTGGGCCCATCTCCCCTTCTGCCACCTCGTTAGGATGCCTACTGTGACATCTGCGTATCCTGCTCCTTTCTTCGCCGAGATTGTGAGTTGCAAAGAGCCTAGAGTGTCTCTCAATCATCTTGGCACTTCCCCCAGGACCTTATACACAGTGAGCATTCAGTAATTGGTTTGTTGAATGAAAAATGACTCACAGAAAAAAAGAACAACTTATCAAATTAACAATGAGACCTCTTGGATCTGTCTAAGGAAAGACACGCCTCCTCGGGTACCTTCTTCGTGGTTCTGGTGCAGTATGACTTCTGGCTGGGTGTGGATCGAGTTTCCGGGGTGGAAGAAAGGTGAAAAAAGAAGCCGAGGTTTCCTCTGCTTCAGAATATGCTGAAGGAGTTCATAGAGCACATCCCCTGGAAAGAGAAAGGAAAGAGAAATACAGAAATGGGAATATTTTATTCACTACTCACTGAGTTTCGACGGTATGCGTGGCACTGTTCTGAGTTCACCGTGTCCTGTGAGTAGGACAGGCTCGCTTCCTATTCTCCCAGGGCTCGGGGGACACACAGGCTGTGCCGTGTGGAACTCTGAAGGTCAGAGCATGTGAGTTTTTTAATAGAACTTTTCGATTATGAAATATACCAAAAAAGTTTTATAAAATGCCGAAAACCAGGAAGAAAACAAAAGCCCACCCATAATGTCATCACTAAGAGGAAAGCCCCATTCCCTACTTAGAGTTATAAATTAGAATCGAGCACACATCATAGTTCAGTGTCCCTTTTTTCCTCCCACATTAATGAACTGTTCCAGTAGCTGCATAATGACTGCTTCACAGACATTATTTGAAATTTAAATTGTCCTAATTTATTGCTATTCCTTTTGTGAAAACATCCTTCCCACATCCATCTTTGCTTGCATTTCAGATAATTCAAGGATTTATGAAGTCACTGAGTATGAAAAGTTTTAATATCCCTATGACAACTCAGAGATTCTTCATAGAAATCACCCCCCCCCAAAAAAAAAAAACCCAAACAACACACATACATAACACCCATGCTTCTTTACCCACCCCAATCCCAGGTAGGAAGAGAATAAATATGAAAAAATTTCACTATCTGGTCACAGCTGCTAAGTACAGAAGAGACAGTGGAGGGAACTGGCACATCTGGGATGCTTCCCTCCTTTAAAAATGCAACACAGCACTGCTCCAAGGTTCCATAATTTCCAGAGAATGGTCTTTAGTTGTCAGCCCCTTGCTGAGGACGGAGGGGGCTGTCCTGAGCTGGGACCCTTTGTTCTGATATATTTGGTGTTTGACGTGTCCACTGAGAAGTTAATTAGAGAAAAAACACCTGTCATGGTCTTGTCCCGCCCCTTTGACTTAGATCCAAGTTCAAAATACAGGTGGGTGCCTCAAAACCCCTTAGGGTGGGTGATTAATCTCTCAAATGCCACAGCCCTGACTGTCCCCCACACAGATATGCCGTCAACAACGGGAACAAACAATGGGCTTTTATCTCTAATTTTAGCCATTTTAAACAGGCGCTTTCATTAGCAACTTAATTTAACTGCATATTTTGGGCTGTAGATATTCTTTTTTTTTCTTTTAAACTCAGCCTGAGAAATGCTCCCTGTTTAATTCTTTCTCTGTGCAAACCTTTCCCATTTATCCCAAATCGAGTTCCATCGCATTCGATTCTGAGGGATTCCTGAGGTCCCAGCGTCTTCGCTTTGGCTTTCGTCCTTCCCCTGCCTTTGAATTAGGTTGTTATTAACATAACTTACTGCCACTATTTACTGTTATGACTCAATAAGGCAAAAGGCTTTGAAAAGCTGAAGACACCAGGTCACTTGGGTGTTTCCTTTCAGTGAAATGGGCAAGAAGACGCAGCAGTGTTCTGAACCAGACTTGTAACAGGACTTTGGAGGCAGAACCTGGCACACGTGATTGGGTTTGGGAGCTGGAAGGCTGTGGAGCTCACCTAAGCCCCATCGAGTAGTCACAGCAGTCATGGTAATGTTGTCTCCGATAAGATGAGGACACGGAGTCCGAACTACAGTCCTAGTTTAAAATTCATATTTTAATCCCTTACAAAAACAAGTCACTAGTCAATACTGTTTCTTTCTGTTTAGTGTGATGTCTTCCTAAACTTTTCTTTAAAAAAAAATATTGATTTCAGAGAGGAAGGGAGGGGGAGAGAGAGAGAGAGACATCCAGGATGAGAGAGAATCGCTGATTGGCTGCCTCATTCACGCCCCACACTGGGGATCGAGCCTGCAACCCGGGCATGCGGCCTGACTGGGAACTGAACCGTGACATCCTGGTTCATAGGCCGATGCTCCTGACTGGGAATCAACCATGACCTCCTGGTTCAAAGGTCAATGCTCAACCACTGAGCCAACCTGGCCAGACTTCCTAAACTTTTCTTAATTTACATGGCCTCACACTCACTGGGTTTCATCCTGTGGATTTGAGCGACGCTTTATTTGAGTAGCATGAAGAAGAGAAAAAAAACCACACACTGAAAATGTGTTTCTGATGATTACTATTAAAAATGAAAGATCAGCAATCAGTGTATCATTTTGGAAGGGGAGCCAGGAAATATAAACTTAGCGCCCGTGAGGTGTTCAATTTTGTTGTCTAGAGAGGCAGGCTGATGTGGAGGATGGCACAGACCGCTTTTCAAAGAACATCCACCCCAGAGGTCGCTGTGAGGATTCAATGAGAGGATGGTCTTGAAGCAGTCAGAGCAGGGGCGGGTGCACTGTTACACCCTAACCTCTTCCTGGGGTCATGCCGGGGGCTGGAGAAGCTCTGAGGTGTGGTGGCTGCAGCCTGGGCAGGAGAGCAGGCAGGGCAGTAACATGGGCTGGGGAGAGTGTCCGCTGTGGGGCCAGGCTGGTGCCTCACGCAGCTTCATCCACCCCACAGGATTACTGGGAGGAGTGGATGAGGAAATGAGCTGATCACAGCGCCAGGCAAACAGAGAATTCAGCAAACACTAGCTGAGGCTGTGACCACTGCTGTCACCACCACCACCACCATTATTATTATTATTATTATTATTACTATTATTATTGATAATACTATAGTAATATCTCACATATTGAACAAAGGAGGGGTGTCTGGGTCATGGTCAGTGAGTCTCTGTTTCCTCTCCAGAAAGGGCAAAGGTTATAGAGGCCATTCAACCCATTTGTGGCCTCTCCGGACACCTCACCCCCCTGGTGGGGCTGACCTGTGCTCTGCCCCACACTTTCCCAGGTCTTAACTTCAGCCTCTCACCCAAAAGCTGGCAAAGGGAGCCTGGCAGCCGAGGTTCATCTCTGAGTGGGCAGGAGCAAGCAGGCGGAGGAGAGAGCCAAGCGGAACTTGGCCAGTTCCTCACCTAAACTGCACGCCTATTGTGAGAACTAGTAAGATAACATTCATCAGCACCACCTGTGACAGCTGGCTAGTGGGTGGGAGCAAGAGCCTGAGGTCCCAGGTTCCAGGCCAGGAAAAAACTGAATCCTAAAACTGTGAAGTACGGCCACAGCTAGATCCATTCATCCGTCCGTCCGTCCATCCACATGTTTCCTCAGCAACCAGGGCTCCGCCGGGGAATGTGTCAGGCTTAGCACAAACATGTCACTACCATGGGGACCCAACTAACTGATGCCCTGTGTGTGCATGACTGGCAGTAATAACAGCTTGCTGAGAAATGCTCCTGATAACTGCTTGGAGTCTTAGACCGAAAGAGGATTCTAGAGGTTTCTTATAATGATTCGAACTTGTGTCCAGTAAAAGTCCCCTGCCCCCATGTCCCTGCCAAGAAGTAGCTTTGGAGGAGAACTTCCAGTGATGGGCAGCCAGCCACGAGATAAGCAAACCACTTTTGGACAGCTCTAGTTGATAGAAAGTTCTGATGAGTTGGACTCTGGCCGCCCTACAATCTCATGTACTTCAGCTCTTAGCTTTGGCTTCTGGAGCACCATGAACGTGTGTCCCATCTACAACCGTTTTCTACATAAATAAAGATGGCCTCCCGCCCTCTCCCCATCGCTACAGTCCCCTAATCCCGCCAACACCCGGCCTGTTCTCTTGGTACACTCTGAAAGTATTCATGGAGGCATATCTGAAGAGTAGTACTAACAAAGAGATCTCTGGAATAAAGAAGATATTTTAAAATGTTATATTTATTTGCTTGTTGAAAATAAAGAGCATGAGCCAAAGCACTGTATATCTAACTTAGCTAATGATCACTGGCTCAAATTCAAAAGGCACTTTTCGGGAAATTCTTGGCCCATTCAATTCTTCATAAATCTTCTTTGTCTTCCCAGAAGAGACATAACTAGTACTAACTGTAAGGGGTGCTTCTAGCTTTTGTTGGCTCCTCCATATATCTGCATGCGTACACACATAGTTCATGTACACGCATAACCGTACAGATGGGTTTACCACGAAGCTGGTGAGTTTCAGGGGCTTTCACTTATATAGTCCCTTGGGAGGAGCCCTAGAACTATTTGCATCCAAATTATAAAATTCAGGCCCCATAAAACCTATATACCCTTACAGGTGCATGTACACATGTGACACATGAAGAATGTACATGCATGCATACACATGTGTGCACACACACACATACACAGAAACCCACAAACTAAACACATACTATCTTACACTGGTGATCTGGATGTAAAAAACCAAGCATCTAATCTGAGAATTCTAAATTCTATCCTTTCATTTGCATTTTGTTTCAAATGGATAGTAGTGAGAGTGAACAAAACTGCTGCAAGTTGCTTATCAATTTTACTAGTGTCTGAAGACCAAAAACATACAGATGCTGCTTAGGGGATCAAATTTATCTGAGTTTCCTTACTTTTAGAGGAAAGAGCTTGGGCTCTGGAGCAAGGAAGTCCCAAGTTTGAATCATGGCCCCTCTATTTTTCAAGCTGCATGCACTAAGGCAAACTATTTTGAGCCTTAGTCCAAGGCTTAGTTAAATAATCTCTGTCTCAAATAACAATAATGCCATAGACTTGGCAGGGCTGTTACCATTAAATGAGATGATGGGAAGAAACACCAGCCCATGCCTGCTATCATATGTGCTCAATAGATGGGACCCCTTGTGATTATGATAATTATTCACAGACCTGTCTCAAAAAATCTGGAAACTATTTGCTTTCCTTCAATACTTTTGCACTTAAAGCACATACAAAAGTTTAATGAAGTCACATTTATATGTATGGAATTTGTTTTCCAGTTGGTATCATTTCATTCAGACATTTCTAGCTCACCATTTCTCTCTCTCTCTCTAGTTCACGGTTTTATCTTCAACCTCTTTCTATGGGTTTCTTCCTTTTAGTATTTAAGCAGTTTCAAGTTATGGGTTTCTTCCCTTTAATATTTAAGCAGTTTCAAGTTTTTGTC